CACAGTGTTCTCTGATTGTGTATTCGCTGTTGGAGTGGCAACACTTGGTTTAACTGTGCTCTCTGTTGGTGTATTTGCTGTTGGAGTATCAACACTTGGTTTCACTGTGTTCTCTGTTGGTGTATTTTCTGTTGGAGTATCAACACTTGGTTTCACTGAGCTCTCTGTTGGTGTATTTGCTGTTGGAGTATCAACACTTGGTTTCGCTGTGTTCTCTATTGGCGTATTTGCTGTTGGAGTATCAACACTTGGTTTCACAGTGTTCTCTGTTGGTGTATTTGCTGTTGGGGTATCAACACTTGGTTTCACTGTGTTCGCTGTTGGTGTATTTGCTGTTGGAGTATCAACACTTGGTTTCACTGTGCTCTCTGTTGGTGTTTTTGCTGTTGGAGTATCAAGACTTGGTTTCACTGTGTTCTCTGTTGGTGTATTTGCTGTTGGAGTATCAACACTTGGTTTCACTGTGCTCTCTGTTGGTGTTTTTGCTGTTGGGGTATCAACACTTGGTTTCACTGTGTTCTCTGTTGGTGTATTTGCTGTTGGAGTATCAACATTTGGTTTCACTGTGTTCTCTGTTGGTATAATCGCTGTTGGAGTATCAACACTTGGTTTCACTGTGTTCTCTGTTGTTGTATTTGATGTTGGAGTCTGAACACTTGGTTTCGCTGTGTTCTCTATTGGCGTATTTGCTGTTGGAATACTAACACTTGGTTTCACAGTGTTCTCTGATTGTGTATTTGCTGTTGGAGTGGCAACACTTGGTTTCACTGTGTTCTCTGTTGGTGTATTTGCTGTTGGAGTATCAACACTTGGTTTTACTGTGTTCTCTGTTGGTATAATCGCTGTTGGAGTATCAACACTTGGTTTCACTGTATTCTCTGTTGGTGTATTTGCTGTTGGAGTATCAACACTTGGTTTCATTGTGTTCTTAGTTGGTGTATTTGCTGTTGGAGTATCAACACTTGGTTTCACTGTGTTCTCTGTTGGTGTATTTGCTGTTGGAGTATCAACACTTGGTTTTACTGTGTTCTCTGTTGGTATAATCGCTGTTGGAGTATCAACACTTGGTTTCACTGTATTCTCTGTTGGTGTATTTGCTGTTGGAGTATCAACACTTGGTTTCATTGTGTTCTTAGTTGGTGTATTTGCTGTTGGGATATCAACACTTGGTTTCACTGTGCTCTCAGTTGGTGTATTTGCTGTTGAAGTATCAACACTTGGTTTCGCTGTGTTGTCTGTCGGTGTTTTTGATGTTGGAGTATCATCACTTGGTTTCACTTTGCTCTCTGTTGGTGTATTTGCTGTTGGACTATCAACACTTGGTTTCACTGTCTCTGTTGGTGTATTTGCTGTTGGAGTATCAACACTTGGTTTCATCGTGTTCTTAGTTGGTGTATTTGCTGGTGGAGTATCAACACTTGATTTCGCTGTGTTCCCTGTTGGTGTTTTTGCTGTTAAAGTATCAACACTTGGTTTTACTGTGTTCTCTGTCGGTGTATTTGCTGTTGGAGTATAAACACTTGGTTTCATCGTGTTCTTAGTTGGTGTTTTTGCTGTAGGGGTATCAACACTTGGTTTCGCTGTGCTCTCTGTTGTTGTATTTGCTGGTGGAGTATCAACACTTGGTATCACTGTGTTCGCTGTTGGTGTATTTGCTGTTGGAGTATCAACACTTGGTTTCATTGTGTTTTCTGTTGGTGTATTTGGTGTTGGAGTATCAACACTTGGTTTAATTGTGTTCTCTGTTGGTGTATTTGCTGTTGGAGTATCAACACTTTGTTCCACTGTGCTCTCTGTTGGTGTTTTTGCTGTTGGAGTATCAAGACTTGGTTTCGCTGTGTTCTCTGTTGGTGTATTTGCTGTTGGAGTATCAACTCTTGGTTTAATTGTGTTCTCTGTTGGTGTATTTGCTGTTGGAGTATCAACACTTGGTTTAACTGTGCTCTCTGTTGGTGTATTTGCTGTTGGAGTATCAACACTTGGTTTCCCTGTGCTCTCTGTTGGTGCATTTGCTGTTTCAGTATCAACACTAGGTTTCACTGTCTTCTCTGTTGGTGTATTTGCTGTTGGAGTATCAACACTTGGTTTCACTGTATTCTCTGTTGGTGTATTTGCTGTTGAAGTATCAACACTTGGTTTCCTTGTGCTCTCTGTTGGTGTTTTTTCTGTTGGAGTATCAACATTTGGTTTTACTGTGTTTTCTGTTGGTGCATTTGCTGTTGGAGTATCAACACTTGGTTTCACTGTGCTCTCTGTTGGTATTTTTGCTGTTTGAGTATCAACATTTGGTTTCACTGTGCTCTCTGGAGGTGTATTTGCTGTTTCAGTATCAACACTTGGTTTCACTTTGCTTTCTGTTGGTGCATTTGCTGTTTCAGTATCAACACCTGGTTTCACTGTCTTCTCTGTTGGTGCATTTGCTGTTGGAGTATCAACACTTGGTTTCACTGTGTTTTGTGTTGGTGCATTAGCTGTTGGAGTATCAACACTTTGTTTCATTGTCTTCTCTGTTGCTGTATTTGCTGTTTCAGTATCAACACCTGATTTCACTGTGCTCTCTGTTGGTGCATTTGCTGTTTCAGTATCAACACTTGGTTTCACTGTCTTCTCTGTTGGTGTATTTGCTGTTTCAGTATCAACACCTGATTTCACTGTGCTCTCTGTTGGTGCATTTGCTGTTTCAGTATCAACACTTGGTTTCACTGTCTTCTCTGTTGGTGTATTTGCTGTTTTAGTAGCAACACTTGGTGTCACTGTGCTCTCTGTTGGTGTTTTTGCTGTTTCAGTATCAACACTTGGTTTCAATTTGTTCTCTGTTTGTGTATTTGATGTTTCAGTATCAACACTTGGTTTCACTGTGCTCTCTATTGGTGCATTTGCTGTTTCAGTATCAACACTTGGTTTCACTTTCTTCTCTGTTTGTGTATTTGCTGTTGGAGTATCAACCCTTGGTTTTCCAGTGTTTTCTGTTGGTGTATTTGCTGTTGGAGTATCGACACTTGGTTTCACTGTACTCTCTGTTGGTATATTTGCTGTTGGAGTATCAACATTTGGTTTCACTGTGTTCTCTGTTGGTGTATTTGCTGTTGGAGTATCAACACTTGGTTTCACTGTGTTCTCTGTTGGTGTTTTTGCTGTTGGAGTATCAACACTTGGTTTCACAGTGTTCTCTGATTGTGTATTCGCTGTTGGAGTGGCAACACTTGGTTTAACTGTGCTCTCTGTTGGTGTATTTGCTGTTGGAGTATCAACACTTGGTTTCACTGTGTTCTCTGTTGGTGTATTTTCTGTTGGAGTATCAACACTTGGTTTCACTGAGCTCTCTGTTGGTGTATTTGCTGTTGGAGTATCAACACTTGGTTTCGCTGTGTTCTCTATTGGCGTATTTGCTGTTGGAGTATCAACACTTGGTTTCACAGTGTTCTCTGTTGGTGTATTTGCTGTTGGGGTATCAACACTTGGTTTCACTGTGTTCGCTGTTGGTGTATTTGCTGTTGGAGTATCAACACTTGGTTTCACTGTGCTCTCTGTTGGTGTTTTTGCTGTTGGAGTATCAAGACTTGGTTTCACTGTGTTCTCTGTTGGTGTATTTGCTGTTGGAGTATCAACACTTGGTTTCACTGTGCTCTCTGTTGGTGTTTTTGCTGTTGGGGTATCAACACTTGGTTTCACTGTGTTCTCTGTTGGTGTATTTGCTGTTGGAGTATCAACATTTGGTTTCACTGTGTTCTCTGTTGGTATAATCGCTGTTGGAGTATCAACACTTGGTTTCACTGTGTTCTCTGTTGTTGTATTTGATGTTGGAGTCTGAACACTTGGTTTCGCTGTGTTCTCTATTGGCGTATTTGCTGTTGGAATACTAACACTTGGTTTCACAGTGTTCTCTGATTGTGTATTTGCTGTTGGAGTGGCAACACTTGGTTTCACTGTGTTCTCTGTTGGTGTATTTGCTGTTGGAGTATCAACACTTGGTTTTACTGTGTTCTCTGTTGGTATAATCGCTGTTGGAGTATCAACACTTGGTTTCACTGTATTCTCTGTTGGTGTATTTGCTGTTGGAGTATCAACACTTGGTTTCATTGTGTTCTTAGTTGGTGTATTTGCTGTTGGAGTATCAACACTTGGTTTCACTGTGTTCTCTGTTGGTGTATTTGCTGTTGGAGTATCAACACTTGGTTTTACTGTGTTCTCTGTTGGTATAATCGCTGTTGGAGTATCAACACTTGGTTTCACTGTATTCTCTGTTGGTGTATTTGCTGTTGGAGTATCAACACTTGGTTTCATTGTGTTCTTAGTTGGTGTATTTGCTGTTGGGATATCAACACTTGGTTTCACTGTGCTCTCAGTTGGTGTATTTGCTGTTGAAGTATCAACACTTGGTTTCGCTGTGTTGTCTGTCGGTGTTTTTGATGTTGGAGTATCATCACTTGGTTTCACTTTGCTCTCTGTTGGTGTATTTGCTGTTGGACTATCAACACTTGGTTTCACTGTCTCTGTTGGTGTATTTGCTGTTGGAGTATCAACACTTGGTTTCATCGTGTTCTTAGTTGGTGTATTTGCTGGTGGAGTATCAACACTTGATTTCGCTGTGTTCCCTGTTGGTGTTTTTGCTGTTAAAGTATCAACACTTGGTTTTACTGTGTTCTCTGTCGGTGTATTTGCTGTTGGAGTATAAACACTTGGTTTCATCGTGTTCTTAGTTGGTGTTTTTGCTGTAGGGGTATCAACACTTGGTTTCGCTGTGCTCTCTGTTGTTGTATTTGCTGGTGGAGTATCAACACTTGGTATCACTGTGTTCGCTGTTGGTGTATTTGCTGTTGGAGTATCAACACTTGGTTTCATTGTGTTTTCTGTTGGTGTATTTGGTGTTGGAGTATCAACACTTGGTTTAATTGTGTTCTCTGTTGGTGTATTTGCTGTTGGAGTATCAACACTTTGTTCCACTGTGCTCTCTGTTGGTGTTTTTGCTGTTGGAGTATCAAGACTTGGTTTCGCTGTGTTCTCTGTTGGTGTATTTGCTGTTGGAGTATCAACTCTTGGTTTAATTGTGTTCTCTGTTGGTGTATTTGCTGTTGGAGTATCAACACTTGGTTTAACTGTGCTCTCTGTTGGTGTATTTGCTGTTGGAGTATCAACACTTGGTTTCCCTGTGCTCTCTGTTGGTGTTTTTGCTGTTGGAGTATCAAGACTTGGTTTCGCTGTGTTCTCTGTTGTTGTATTTGCTGTTGGAGTATCAACACTTGGTTTCACTGTGTTCTCTGTTGGTGTATTTGCTGTTGGAGTATCAACTCTTGGTTTAATTGTGTTCTCTGTTGGTGTATTTGCTGTTGGAGTATCAACACTTGGTTTAACTGTGCTCTCTGTTGGTGTATTTGCTGTTGGAGTATCAACTCTTGGTTTAATTGTGTTCTCTGTTGGTGTATTTGCTGTTGGAGTATCAACACTTCGTTTTAATGTGTTCTCTGTTGGTGTATTTGCTGTTGGAGTATCAACTCTTGGTTTAATTGTGTTCTCTGTTGGTGTATTTGCTGTTGGAGTATCAACACTTGGTTTCGCTGTGTTCTCTGTTGTTGCATTTGCTGTTGGAGTATCAACACTTGGTTTTACTGTGTTTTCTGTTAATGTATTTCCTCTTGGAGTATCAACACTTGGTTTCACTGTGTTCTCTGTTGGTACATTTGCTGATGGAGTATCAAGACTTGGTTTCGCTGTGTTCTCTGTTGGTGCATTTGCTGTTGGAGTATCAACTCTTGGTTTAACTGTGCTCTCTGTTGTTGTATTTGCTGTTGGAGTATCAACACTTTGTTCCACTGTGCTCTCTGTTGGTGTTTTTGCTGTTGGACTATCAACACTTTGTTCCACTGTGCTCTCTGTTGTTCTATTTGCTGTTGGAGTATCAACACTCGGTTTCTCTGAGTTTTCTGGTGGTGTATTTGCTTTTAGAGTATCAACAATTGGTTTTACTGTGTTATCTTTTGGTGTATTTGCTGTTGGAGTATCAATATTTGGTTTCACTTTGCAGAACGATGAATGGTTTCCTTCTCTTATATGGTATTCTGTACAATCATCTGGACAGTTGAATAGATGGTTTTCTTCTCTGATATGGTCTTTTGTACAATCATTTGGACAGTTTGATGAATGGTTTCCTTCTCTGATATGGTCTTTTGTACAATCAACTTTACAGTTGGATGAGTGATTTCCTTCTCTGATATGGTCTTCTGTACCATCAACTTTACAGTTGGCTGAATGGTTTCCTTCCCTGATGTTGTATTCTGTACAATCAACTGCACAGTTGGATGAATGGTGTCCTTCTCTGATATGGTCGTCTGTACAATCAACTTTACAATTGGATGAATGGTTTCCTTCTCTGATATGGTATTCTGTACAATCATCTTTACAGTTGGCTGAATAGTTTCCTTCTCTGATATGGTCTTCTGTACAATCATCTTTACAGTTGGATGGATGGTTTCCTTCTCTGATATGGTCTTCTGTACAATCAACTGCACAGATCAATGAATGGTTTCCTTCTCTGATATGGTCTCCTGTACAATCAACTGCACAGTTCGATGAATGGTTTCCTTTTCTGATATGGTCTTCTGTACAATCAACGTCACCTTTTGATGAGTGGTTTCCTTCCCTGATATGGTCTTCTGTACAATCATCTTTACAGTTGGATGAATGGTTTCCTTCTCTGAAATGGTATTTAGTACAATCATCTTTACAGTTGGATGAGTGGTTTCCTTCTCTGATATGGTCTTCTGTACAATCAACTGCACAGTTGGATGAATGGTTTCCTTCTCTGATATGGTCTTCTGTAGAATCAACTTTACAATTGGATGAATGGTTTCCTTCTCTGATATGGTCTTCTGTACAATCATCTTTACAGTTGGATGAGTGGTTTCCTTCTCTGATATGGTCTTCTGTACAATCAACTGCACAGTTGGATGAGTGGTTTCCTTCTCTGATATGGTCTTCTGTACAATCAACTGCACAGTTGGATGTATGGTTTCTTCCTCTGATATGGTCTTCTGTACAATCAACTGCACAGTTCGATGAATGGTTTCCTTCTCTCATGTGGTCTTCTGTACAATCAACTGCACAGTTGGATGAATGGTTTCCTTCTCTGATATGGTCTTCTGTACAATCAATTTTACAGTTGGATGAATGATTTCCTTCCTTTATATGGTCTTCTGTACAATCAACTCCGCAGTTGGATGAATGATTTCCTTCTCTGATATGGTCTTCTGTACAATCATCTGCACAGTTGGATGAATGGCTTCCTTCCCTTATATGGTCTTCTGTACAATCAACTTCACATTTGGATGATCGGTTTCCTTCCCTGATATGGTCTTCTGTACAATCATCTTTACAGTGGGATGAGTGGTTTCCTTCTCTGATATGATCTTCTGTACAATCAACTGCACAGTTGGATGTATGGTTTCCTTCTCTGATGTGGTCTTCTGTACAATCATCTTTACAATTGGAAGAATGGTTTCCTTCTCTCACGTGGTCTTTTGTACAATCATCTTTACAGTTGGATGAGTGGTTTCCTTCTCTGATATGATCTTCTGTACAATCAACTGCACAGTTGGATGTATGGTTTCCTTCTCTGATGTGGTCTCCTGTACAATCAACTTTACAATTTGATGTATGGTTTCCTTCTCTGATATGGTCTGTACAATCATCTTTACAGTTGGATGAGTGATTTCCTCCTCTGATATGATCTTTTGTACTATCAACTGCACAGTTGGATGTATGGTTTCCTGCTCTGATTTGGTCTTCTGTACAATCAACTGCAGAGTTGGATGAGTAAATTGCATTTGCTATTTGAGCATCAACATTTGTTTTTACTGTGCTATTCTCAGGTGCATAAGATGGTAGAGTCTCAACGCTTGGCGTCACTTTGATTTTCTTTGGTGTATCAGATGTTGGAGTATCAACAATGTGTTTTACTGTGTTCTTTGTTGGTGCATTTGCTGTTTCAGTATCAATACTTGGTTTCACTGTGTTCTCTGTTTGTGTATTTGCTGTTGGAGTATCAGCACTTCGTTTTACTGTGTTTTCTGTTGGGGTATTTGCTGTTGGAGTATCAACACTAGGTTTCGCTGTGTTCCCTGTTGGTGTATTTGCTGTTGGAGTATCAACACTTGGTTGCATTGTGTTCTCTGTTGGTATATTTGCTGTTGGAGTATCAACACTTGATTTCACTGTGCTTTCTGTTGGTGTTTTTGCTGTTGGAGTATCAACATTTGGTTTCACAGTGTTCTCTGCTGGTGTATTTGCTGTTGGAGTATCAACACTTGGTTTCACTGTGCTCTCTGTTGGTGTATTTGCTGTTGGAGTATCAACACTTGGTTTCACTGTGTTCTCTGTTGGTTTACTTACTGTTGGAGTATCAACACTTGGTTTCACTGTGTTCACTGTTGGTGCATTTGTTGTTTTAGTATCAACATTTGGTTTCACTGTCTTCTCTATTGCTGTATTTGCTGTTGGAGTATCAACACTTGGTTTCACTGTATTCTCTGTTGGTGCATTTGCTGTTGAAGTATCAACACTTGGTTTTACTGTGTTTTCTGTTAATGTATTTCCTCTTGGAGTATCAACACTTGGTTTCACTGTGCTCTCTGTTGGTGTATTTGCTGTTGGAGTATCAACTCTTGGTTTCACTGTGCTCTCTGTTGGTGTATTTGCTGTTGTAGTATCAACACTTGGTTTCATTGTGCTCTCTGTTGCTGTTTGAGTATCAACACTTGGTTTCACTGTGCTCTCTGTTGGTGTTTTTGTTGTTTCAGTATCAACACTTGGTTTCACTGTGTTCTCTGTTGGTGTATTTGCTGTTGTAGTATCAACACTTGGTTTCACTGTGCTCTCTGTTGGTGCATTTGCTGTTTCAGCATCAACACTTGGTTTCACTGTGCTCTCTGTTGGTGCATTTGCTGTTTCAGCATCAACACTTGGTTTCACTGTCTTCTCTGTTGGTGTTTTAGCTGTTGGAGTATCAACACTTGGTTTCACTGTATTCTCTGTTGGTGCATTTGCTGTTGGAGTATCAAAACTTGGTTTCACTGTGTTCTCTGCTGGTGTATTTGCTGTTTCAGTAACAACACTTGGTTTCACTCTGCTCTCTGTTGGTGCATTTGCTGTTTCAATATCAACACTTGGTTTCACTGTGCTCTCTGTTGGTGTTTCTGCTGTTGGAGTATCAACATTTGGTTTCATTGTGCTCTCTGTTGATGTATTTGATGTTTGAGTATCAACACTTGGTTTCACTGTGCTTTCTGTTGGTGTATTTGCTGTTTCAGTATCAACACTTGGTTTCACTGTGCTCTCTGTTGGTGCATTTGCTGTTTCAGTATCAACACTTGGTTTCACTGTGCTCTCTGTTGGTGTTTTAGCTGTTGGAGTATCAACATTTGGTTTCACTGTGCTCTCTGTTGGTGTTTTTGCTGTTGGAGTATCAACACTTGGTTTCACTGTGCTCTCTGTTGGTATAATCGCTGTTGGAGTATCAACACTTGTTTTCACTGTGTTCTCTGTTGGTGTTTTTGCTGTTGGAGTATCAACACTTGGTTTCATTGTGCTCTCTGTTGCTGTTTGAATAGCAACACTTGGTTTCACTCTGCCCTCTGTTGGTGCATTTTCTGTTTCAGTATCAACACTTGGTTTCACTGTCTTCTCTGTTGGTTTATTTGCTTTTTCAGTATCAACACTTGGTTTCACTGTTTTCTCTGTTGGTGTATTCGCTGTGTCAGTATCAACACTTGGTTTCACTGTGCTCTCTGTTGGTGCATTTGCTGTTTCAGTATCAACACTTGGTTTCCCTGTGCTCTCTGTTGGTGTTTTTGCTGTTGGAGTATCAACATTTGGTTTCACTGTGCTCTCTGTTGGTGTATTTGCTGTTTCACTATCATTACTTGGTTTCACTGTGTTCTCTGTTGGTGCATTTGCTGTTTCAGTATCAACACTTGGTTTCACTGTGCTCTCTGTTGGTATAATTGCTGTTAAAGTATCAACACTTGGTTTCACTGTCTTTTCTGTTTGTGCATTTGCTGTTGGAGTATCAACACTTGGTTTCACTGTGTTTTCTGTTGGTGCATTAGCTGTTGGAGTATCAACACTTGGTTTTGCTGTGTTCTCTGTTGGTGTATTTGCTGTTGGAGTATCAACACTTGGTTTCACTGTGCTCTCTGTTGGTATAATTGCTGTTAAAGTATCAACACTTGGTTTCACTGTGCTCTCTGTTGGTATAATTGCTGTTAAAGTATCAACACTTGGTTTCACTGTCTTTTCTGTTTGTGCATTTGCTGTTGGAGTATCAACACTTGGTTTCACTGTCTTCTCTGTTTGTGTATTTGCTGTTGGAGTATCAACACTTGGTTTCACTGTGTTCTCTGTTGGTGTTTTTGCTGTTGGAGTATCAACACTTGGTTTCACTGTGTTCTCTGTTGGTGTAATTGCTGTTTCAGTATCAACACTTGGTTTCACTGTCTTCTCTGTTGGTGTATTTGCTGTTTCAGTATCAGCACTTGGTTTCACTGTGCTCTCTGTTGGTGCATTTGCTGTTTCAGTATCAACACTTGGTTTCACTGTGCTCTTTGTTGGTGTTTTTGCTGTTGGAGTATCAACATTTGGTTTCACTGTGCTCTCTGTTGGTGTATTTGCTGTTTCAGTATCAACACTTGGTTTCACTTTGCTTTCTGTTGGTGCATTTGCTGTTTCAGTATCAACACTTGGTTTCACTGTCTTCTCTGTTGGTGTATTTGCTGTTGGAGTATCAACACTTGGTTTCACTGTGCTCTCTGTTGGTGTATTTGCTGTTGGAGTATCAAGACTTGGTTTCACTGTGTTCTCTGTTGGTGTATTTGCTGTTGGAGTATCAACACTTGGTTTCACTTTATTCTCTGTTGGTGTATTTGCTGTTTCAGTATCAACATTTGATTTTACTGTGGTCTCTGTCGAAGTATTTGCTGTTGGAGTATCAACACTTTGTTTCACTTTGCTCTCCCCAAATGTATTGGCTGTTTGAGTATCAACATTTCGTTTCACCGTGCTCTTATCTGGTGTATTGGATGAAGGCAAATCAACACTTGATTTCCTTTTGCTCTCATCTGGTTTGTTGGATAGGGGAGTATCAACACTTGGTTTCAATTGGCTCTCTTTGGTTTTAGTTGCTGGAGTCTCAACACTTGATGTCACTTGGGTCTTCTCCACTGGGCAGTTGAATGAATTGCTCCCACCTCTCATATGGCCCTCTGGACATTCCACTGAACAGTTGGGTGAACAGTTTCCACCTCTCACGTGGTCCTCTTTACATTCATCTTGGCAGTGGGATGAGTTGTTACTACCTCTCATATGGCTCTCTATACATTCCACTGAACAGTGGGATGAGTGGTTTCCACTTCTCAGGTGGTCTTCTTTACATTCATCTGGACAGTGGGGTGAGTGGTTCCTACTTCTCATATGGCTCTCAGTACATTCTACTGAACAGATGGATGAGTGGTTCCTATCTCTCATGTGGCTCTCTGTACAGTGGGATGAATGGTTTCTACCTCTCATATGGCTCTCTATACATTCCACTGAACAGGCGGGTGAATGGTTTCCACCTCTCACGTGCTCTTCTTTACATTCATCTGGACAGTGGGATGAGTGGTTCCTACCTCTCATATGGCCCTCTGTACATTCCACCGAACAGTTGGATGAGTGGTTTCTACCTCTCATATGGCTCTCTGTACATTCCACTGAACAGTCGAGTGAATGGTTCCCGCCTCTTATGTGGTCTACTTTACATTCCACTGAACAGTGGGATGAGTGGTTCCTACCTATCATTTGGTATTCTGTACATTCCTCCTCATCCTTTGTTGAATGATTCTTACTCATGATATTGTATTCTGTACGTCTAATTGGACAGTTTGATGAGTGCTTCCCACCTCTCTTTTGGTCCTCTGTAGATTCAAATGGAGAGTTTTGTGAGTGATTCCTACCTCTCACATGGTCTTCTGTACGTTCTACTGAACAATCGTGTGAATTGTTTCCATCCTTCATATGGTCTTTTGCACATTCTACTGAACTGCTGGATGGATAATTTTCCGTACCTAATAAGTTCTCTGCATTTTCCTTTTTTGTTTTGAATGACGAACTGTCTTCATGCGAATGGTTCTTTGAACATTTTACCGGTGTTGTGAATATTCTACTCTTACCATGCCAAATGGACCTTTCACATTCCGCCTTTGAATTGGATGATTTAGTCTCATCTTGCCAAATGGGCCTTTCACATTCCGCCTTTGAATTGGATGGTTTTGTCTCATCTTCCCAAAGTGTCTTCTCGTATTCCACCTGTGGATTCGATGATGTAGTCGCATCTTGCCAAATGTTCCTTTCGCACTCCTCCTTTGAACTGGATGGTTTATAGGTCTCCTCTTGCCAAATTGTCCTTTCACATTCCGCCTTTGAATCGGTCTCATTCTGCGAAATGGTCCTTTCATATTCCCCCTGCGGATTTGATGGTGTAGTCTCACCTTGCCAAATGTTCCTTTCGCATTCTCGCTTTGAATTGGATGGTGTACTCGCACCTTGCCAAATGTTCCTTTCGCTTTGCCCCTTCGAATTTGATTGTGTAGTTGTACCTTGCCAAATGTTCCTTTCGCTTTGCCCCTTCGAATTTGATTGTGTAGTCGCACCTTGCCAAATATTCTCTTCGCATTCCTCTTTTAAATTGGATGATGTAGTCTCTCCTTTCCAAACGTTACTTTCACATTCTGCTTTTGTTTTAGATTGTGCGGGCTCACCATGCCAAGTGTGTTTTTCTTTTGTATTGTCATTCGCTCTGTTTATATTGTTTTTAATTTTGCAGGGTGAAGACTCTGCATCGATAGCTAATCTCTCATTCAATCTAAATCGATAAAAAGATAAAGATAAACTAAGTAATCGAATGACTTCAATCTTATTTCTATAATACGATATAGTTTAGGAAACTTGGATTCAAAAGCAACGAGTGATGCCTTTTAACAAGAGAGAACAAATTGGAAAGTAAAAGTGTTCGATAAATGGAATTCATTCCGGATATCTGCGACTCCTAGTTAAGTATGTAACTACTAACTTGAATCTTGGGCTATTGTTTCACACTTTCTGAGTTCATTTAAATTTTTTAACTTTACAATGTCCTTTATAGAAATTCAATAAAGTTATTAATCTTGATATTTTTCTGTAAGTACTAATAGAAATTATCATGTAATCTAAGCCAGAAACCAATGTCAGATGTCACCCGACCTTATTTGTGATTATGAGTCAAAGCTTAAAAAGCAATCTCGAGTTTCAAACTGACTTCTGTATTAACCTGAAACCATATTCTAATTTAGTCCACTTACCTTTTGTTTTTCTCAAATTATAATATTTGACAATCAAATTTGAAGGGTGTTAATCAGGGCAATTCTGTGTCGTTTCAATCAAAAATCTTTTTTTATTACTTTCATGTTTGTTATATTCATCATTGTTATAGTGATTTCAATCAAAAATCTTGTTGCAACCTAGAAACGAACTTTTATGACGTCACGTCATGGACCAGTCCAATACAATGATGCAATAGGAGGGGTGTCAGGTAGATGTGATTTGTTGTTATTGTTACTGTTGCTTTGGTCACAGAAAAAGAATGTCGATGCAAAAATATATTCCACGGTTACCTCAAAACTCTATTTACAAAACAAAACGAATATATTTGATTCTATGTAGGTAACACCCCTGTGAGTTCTACGATTTTTTGGGAAATTTCAAAAAAGGTTTAGAGAACGAAGTCTACTGCACGTTACGCCCGCTCTGGACATACTGTAGATTTAAATGTCCTCTTTTGAATATGCATTATTTAATTTGGGTGTTATTTCTATATTTCTTATAAAACACTATTATCGCAATAGACTGATGAACTTCATTCTCCAAACCGAGACTTGTCTTTTTTTGAATCGGTCTACTGCACGTTACGCCTGCTTCGGACAATTTTGATATTTTTACATATTTTAGATTTAAATGTCTTCTTTTGAATAGTAATAATTTAATTTTGATAAAAAATTTATATTTTTCATAAGAAAATTATTAGCCCAGTTGACTGTTCTCCAAATCGAGACTTGTCTTTTCCCAACTAGAAAGGCTTAATACAAATAGGTTACTACAGTATTGCATAATCAACAAAAGGTTTGTGAGATAAATTAGGATAAGGTTTCAAAATTATGCACATGACAATGTATAACAAATGCAGTCAGGGACTTTTAAATTTTAATCGCCAAGAAAGTTACAATTAACATGTACAATGTACATCAGTCAACTAAATGTAAATTGAATAGTATGATGTAAACCAGAAAACATGATTTTAACACATTTGAGTCCTCTTGTGTCTCTGTTACAAATAGTTAAGTCGGAAGGAAAGGAACCCGCATTATGGCTAAGTCAATAAACGTTACAGTTATACCATTTTGAACCATCCTGTATATTTGCAAAAGTTTAACTTCATTTCTAGAGGTGTCACACCAACCACAAGTCGACCCGAATCTCGGGTCGGAAGGCTCGGATCGGTTCATGAATAACCATAGGTTCTGGGCCGATATAAAGATGGCAGCACCAACAGAATCCAGTATTATCTTTTTCTCTATTTATAAATAAACACAGATCGATTACCATGCCATCTTTATTTAAAAATTATTCCTATCGGCCTTTGCCTATGTGAATAACGACTTACCAATTTCGGGTCGGGTCAGAACACTCAGGAAAATCGTAAATTACCGTAAAATGATTTATATTTCCGGCAAAAATTTCCCACTTCGAGCCGGCCTATGTCTTGTGTACGCATAGGCTAAATTACGAACAGAAAATAATACAAGTTCTTCTATAATAATTTAATGCCAAGTTTTTTATCATTTTTCCTTGATCAGAGTATGCAGTATTGCGGGCTTAAACAGTCTTATAATGTGCCGTGTATACATCCAGTCGTTTTAGCTGCTAGTACTAAATTCATTTTTCTGTTTTATTCTGACCCGACCCGAAATTAACCGACCCGCACACTTTTTTCTGACCAAATCCGACAAGAAAAACATCTGACCCATGTCACCTCTATTCATTTCACTCACTAAACATCGATCTTCCCAATAATCGTTTATTTACTTTCTCAAAAATGTAATATATTCTTAGATTTATAAACTTACGTACCGCTTTGTTAATCTGTGCAAAAGAACCCCTGTAGAAACTCCAACAGAAATTGTTATCAATGCGTTAGCGACAAACCCAGCGAGTACGGTAGTAAAAAGAGACCCTGCGTCGTCGGCAGTATTTTGTTGGCACGCGCAGTCTCCATCAGTTTCATCTCCCTCTTGGTCTGAATCATCTTCTTGTGCATCCGCATCATCACTCCTAGGATCGTTCTCTCTATTTCTATGACGTTGAGCTGCAACCGAAACGCGTTTATTTGGTTCTGTACTCGTCCTCTTGAGAGCCAAATTATCTATTTGGGCTTGTTCGACTGATACTTCTGCATTTACGCTTCGAGCTTTGACTTGAGTCTCTTTGTTTATGGTATCACTTGTGGCCCTATTTTCGAAAATAGCTCTTTGATTTAACGCCATCTTTTCTTCGTGGCCATGTCGTTTGTCTTTTGCGCCAAGGCCTATGGTTCTATACATTACTAGATTAACATCTTGGTGGGTTAATCTCCTATTCTCAATTGTCACGGCTTTTCGATCATTTGAAATTTGTTGATATTTACGAATTCGTGCATTTGTGTCGCCCAACTGAACTACACCAAAACTTAACGTAATCAATAAGAAAACGTACACACTTATCCGGATCCTTTCCATGATCTTTAAAACTTACCAAAGTAGGTATTCAGATAAAACTATTCCACGGAGTCTTTCTTTAAAGGTCTCGGTAGTGTATCGAGTCCAGAATCTAAATAGTTCGATTGAAAGGTGGTCAGTAATTGTTCCAAGTGTGATATTACCATTATATCTATCTCCATGTCATTCCAATCCGTTAGTACTATGATTGCGCAATATCATCTGCGGCATCATTTCCTTACATAAATACCATGATATACATGGTACTACCCTTATATAACCAAATTATTTAATTTTGAAACGGCAATTACCAGCATATTAATTTTGTTGGCTAATTTATAACTGCCAAAATGTTTATTTTCTTTTATAATGGAACGTGTTTTTAAAATATTTAAAGGTGTAATGTCTAAACGAATTTAAAAAAAAAGCATTTTCTCCAAGATGGCGAAAACTATACCCGACAATTTTATTCATTGTTTCTTTTCTATTGTATTGTATTGTATTGCATTGTAGTGTTTTGTAATGTATTGTTCTGTACTATACCGTACTGTAATGTACTGTACAGTACATGTATCGTGCTGTAGATATCGCATCGCATTACTATGTCATACTGATTTAATCGGAGATGCAAATAGAAATGATTTATTTGAATTTTTTGTCATTAAACATTCACATTTAAAGCAAAATAATATCATATTTGAAATGAATATACAAAATTAGATCTAGAAATGTACTTTTTAAGATTGTTTATAAACGTTCAAATTCTAGTTTTCTTCAAAAATAAGACTTCTAGATCTGGTAGATTCCTCATAGAGCTCATGTTATAAATTATAAAAAGTGAAACATCTTTTCTTGTTTTAGATAGACAATTTTCTTTTACCGGACATAATTACAATTGTTTAATTATCAAACTTAAAGGTGTTATACAAAAATTGATTTAATGAATATTGAGGTTTAAAGGAACTTTTCCTCTATCTGCCATGTTATTTGAGCCGAATTAGCCACCTGTTGAAGAAAATGATAACTAACAACTGGTGTCTTAGTATAATGAATAACGTTACATATTGGTAACTTTAAAATTTTTGTTTACAGTGGAGGTTCCCAATATGAATAAAATGGTCGTTTACGGATGCTTATAAATATCAAATATTTTCCAATGTACCATTGATTTCCACATTTTCAATGCACTCTCAGATTTGCGTGGACAGGGTAGCTACAGCCAATGATATCATAAATCTAGCCAATATACCAAAGGTGGTAGGGTACAGGGAAAGGTCTATTGATACTTTGTTTCATAGGGAAACAAAGTGTCAGCCATTATAAAGTGTCAATCATAGGAAAATAAAATGTCAGTCAAAGGGAAATAAAGTGTCAGCCATGGGAAATGACGTTTCAGTGTAACTAGGTGGAGATAAACAAATAGTGGGAATACAATACAGGTCATTCATATTTCATTCAATTTAATTGTTGTAAATCCCTTTTTGAAATAAACAATTGAATGGCGCTGTCGCCAAATAGTTCGATCCATAAATGAGAGCATGAATCATTGATGGATTTTGATCTATAACTGTACCTATTGACACTTCGTGCGAAATGGGTTGTAGAGCCGGGTTGGTAAATTGAAGTAGTAATTCTAGAATATAGCGACTGGCTAACCCCTGGCCTGAATATATCAACTACCAAAATTTGAGCTAGTGAGGAAGTTAAAATACACTTTTTCCGTACGTGAACGTGTAGAATTATGACCTTCTGTGGATAAGTTCTCCCATTAATTTGTTGTGTTTACTTGGCCGATTGAGTATAAAGGTATACGAAGACTTATTGCAATTAGGTCCTTTTGAAAGTGAAATTAGAGCGAGGCGGTAATTCCCGGGGTCGAAAAGTTACACGCTCATACAGTTCTCTTGAGAACGTGTAACTTAACCTCCCTAATGTGCCTATAATGAGAATGCCATTGGTACTCACTACTAACACGGGTGGGCTAATCTCAAGTCTCCCACCAGTTGATGTGGAAAGTGGAAATATGACATCCCCCTACTTACTAGCCTTGCCCAAGTCGGTATTTTTTACTTATCTGATCTTGATTTATTACCATGATAGAAATCAAGATATAAGTAAAAGAGACCGACTTGGGCAAGGCTATCTACTTACCTAGATAATTGATAATTAAATTGACGAAGTAATATCAATTTTTCCAGTGTGCATATAGTTTATTTGCTCTTATACGATAATTACAATTATATTTAATTACATTTACATAACTACGCCTAAAGTTGATTTCTAACACCCCAGTCACATTTGTCGCACGGCGGCCGCAGATCAATTAAATCGGTGAATTTCTGCGGCGAGCGTAGAAAAACTACGCTCGCCTTGCGGCCTCTGTACGGCGCATGCAGATTTTTACAGGCCGCAGGGAAGGCGTAGAAATTATAACTCGGAGTTATAAGTTTTGTTCATTTCTGAGGTCGCCGTAGAAATCAACTGTCTCAACAAGATTGAATCATTATTTGTCAATGTTTCACGATCACTTTTCATTTGATATTACTATGAATAACATTTATAAGTTGTCCCGATGTAAATAAAATGAAAAAAGTATTATTTATCAACAGAAATTTAAAATTCACCGTGCGGCTGCCGTGGGAAATGTGACTGCAAAAGTATGAGAGCAACGAGCGTAGAACTGTTACTGGCCGCAGAAATGATAGACCGCAAGGTCGCCGTAGGAAATGTGACTGGGGTGTAAAGTTACAGAGCTTCAAAGTCATTTTTGAAAATCATTTTTCGCCCCCTGTGTTATTTCAATGGGAGGAGTTCTTTGAAAAACAATTTTGACTTTGAAGACATATATCCTTTTCTTAACCTAATTATTTTTGCAAGAACTCGGATGGATGAGTATTCTGTTATATGACTTGCGGCAAACCTACCATTTCCCATTGGTTTACATTGGAATGTCGATTTTCAAAATTTATCAGATTTATCATCAATTTTCGACCTATGGTAATTGAGGAAAAAATTATTCTCATATGTCTCTATCCCTTCTCATTTTTTTTAATTATCCAGTAGTGTTAAATATTACATATATATACCTGTATATAAAAAGTAAAAAAACAAGTCAGTGACCTATACATTTTTACTTTTAACACCCCAGTCACATTTCCCACGGCCGCCATGCGGTCTATCATTTCTGCGGCCAGTAGCTTTTCTACGCTCGCCGTAGAATTTCTGCGCTCTCATACTTTGCAGTCACATTTCCCACGGCAGCCGCACGGTGAATTTTAAATTTCGGTTGATAAATAATACTTTTTTTTCATTTTATTTACATCAGGACAATTTATAGATGTTATTCATAGTGCTAGGATGTAATATCTAATGAAAAGTGATCATGAAACATTGACAAATAATGATTCAATCTTGTTGAGCCAGTTGATTTCTACGGGCACCGCAGAAATGAAAAATATTATAACTCCGAGTTATAATTTCTACGCCTTCCCTGCGGCCTGTAAAAATCTGCATACGCCGTACGGAGGCCGCAAGGCGAGCGTAGATTTTCTACGCTCGCCGCAGAAATTCACCGATTTAATTGATCTGCGGTCGACTTGCGGCCGCCGTGCGACAAATGTGACTGGGGTGTTAGTACAAAGTTAACTGAACACTTAGCGTACATTAAAGGTGAACACTTCAATTTTCTATATAGAAATATTTTTTTGTGAATCTTTTCTTGGTTAGATATCCTGAAATCAGATTTGCCCCAGACCCACCATTTCCCATCGGTTTACATGGGAATGAGATTTTCCAAAATTCATAAAATTTGGGAAAATGGGAAAATCTGGAGGGATTGGATATGAAGTCAAGTTACATTTCCATCAATACCAGGTTTCAACACGCAGTTTAATGAGGGAGTTATGGTTGCCAAACTTATGGAGGGGAGTGTATACACATGTAGTATCCCATTTTTAATTCGAAATGTCCCAAGAATTGTTTAGAATTCCATCTATTCGAATTTCAATCATTTTCAATAGATTTTAAACACAAACAAACATCAAAAAAAGTCAAATATTTTTAGTAAGTCGACACATTTCGTCATACCTGTTACACACTTATATACACATTAGATAAATGAAATAAAATTTAAAGTCTGTTCATTTTCACTGATGATTGCACTGATCAATCAACCATCATCGCGTCATACGTCATATCCGTTATACCTACTTGACATTTACAATTCTCCAATCAGATGTTGTTTGATTAATTTTGTTAATGCCAGTTTAGTCTCGTGTCCATTGTGATAGCAAGGTCGATAATCCATTCTACTCAATTCAGAGCCGTTGAATTGGCAATTTCAGATCTGCGATACGGTATATTACAAGTAAAGAAATAGATAAATCCTATTCTATGTAATAGATAGGCGTTCACCAATAAGCTATTGTAGGGAAACATGGGGCTAAACGGCCCTCAAAAAGTAAATTTTAAGTTGTTCCATTTGGGGTATCTTCTTATCTGTCAAGCATCGCGTACTTTGAGGTTCCACTTGATCAATATGTTGGGGTTAACATTTTTCGAGAAAAATAATGTTTGGAGTGGGGTAAAACGGCCTTATGGTGGAGCAAAACGGCCCATTCTCTGTTACATGGGTTTCAGAACCAAGATTAATCAATTACAGGACTCGTCCACACACATCTTTTCTCAGACGATCAAACATAAGACAGATAAAGTATTCTTAACCCCTACCATAATACTAGTCATTTGATATGTGTCAGAAGGAAATAAGGTACAAATCAATGTTAAAAAAGTTATATTTGAAAATCAATTGTTCTTGTTCATTCAGATTTTTGTTTTGCCCCACAGTCCTGTGAATTTTTAAATTGACGTCATTTTAATTTTCCTAATATTTGTAGCTCGAAATAAATGAAGAATAGATATACATACTCAATGTAAAATGTTTATTCAAAACGATTCTCTATTGTTGCCGGTTTTTTATAGAATTTCGTTGGAGGGGTAATTTGCAAAAAAAAGAGAGTGAAAAAAAGAATTACGCTGCTAGGTTAAAAGGGGCAGTCGAGACTCGAGAAGGTGGCGGAAATTTCCAAATTCAATTAGTATGTGACTTTTGAAGAACCATCTCGTTATCGTTCAAAATATATTTCGATGGGCCTTTTTGCCCCACATGGCTGTTTTTCCTATGTTTCCCCTATTCAATAGAATAAAATCAATTTTCTGTTTGGCACTTGTAACATGAATTATTGATATACATAATCAAATTTTACTTCGCACAGCTCAAACATTCTGGAAAATATACTGACATAACTTGATGTACAAATATTCGCTACACAATTACAGATCCAATTACAACCGTACACAAACCTTTCTTGCACATTGATGACCTTTGAACTATCAAGGCTGCACTCTTCAAATTGCCCGTAAAAGTCCTGATTGGCTGCCACACTTGAATAAACTTGAACCTGACGATTGCCTGCGCATTCAAAACCTCTCGTGTAAATCGCTACGTGAACACTGGATGCTGTTAGGCTCGAGGAGTCCAATTTCAGAGTTACACCTGTATTTATACGGATACATGTTCCGATATTTCCATCTTCAAGTTCATTCTTCTTCATCTCAACAAGGGCTCCATGTCCATGATTCGGGTTAGCTGTGATACGACTATCTAAAAGCATTGCATTTGTTGATTTTTATCATGTAGCAGCATGAGGGTTTACTAGCAGACGATTTCAGGATTTAGGAAGGAGACATAAAATGATAAGAAGTCAACTTACATTTCAAATTTAGGCAAGCTATTAGGTGGCGCCACTGTAGCAAATCCTGACATTATATCCCCCAAATTTACCCAAATCTACCCCAAACCCATTCTTCTTCATATTCGCCATAAAAGAGTGTTAACAATACATGCGACTTGTTTCATTAGAAATACCTTTGTAGCTGATGGCCTGGACAGCAAAGTACATTACCGGTGCCCCGGGGTCCGTTTTGGTGACGGCAAAACCGGGAACCAAATGGTGACTATATCGCTCCGCTATTCCAAGCCAAGGTGAAAATTCAGATTCATCCACTCCGCAACATATAGGATTCCTTTGAGTATGAGTTAGGGACAAAGCAATTGATATTTGTGACGTTTCCGCAAATATTCCCATGAACGCCCCAGCCTCGTGAGATATCCTCTCATCTTCTGGTACAACGTATCTATGTCGACCTGAGATGATATATAGAGGATATCCTATTATTTTTGAGGGATATCATTTTTATCCATTAGTGGATATCGCCCATCCCTATGAGTGAACGCAGCGAATGTGTGGAGATCGGCGATATCCAAGAATAGATAGAAATGATAGCCGAGAAAATCATAGGATATCATTTTTATCCTGTGGCTTTTTTCGTATGGACTTCGTAATTATACATAAAAGTTTCTATTTTTCACTTTATTTTCTGTGAACTTATTTTTACAAAATGATTGCATGAAAAAATGTGACTCATTTTTTCAACATTTTTTGTCCAAATTTGTTTTCAAATTTTTTCTGAATTTTAAAATTTCTTTGACAAATTTTTTTCAGAACATTTTTAAAATAATATCCGTCGGATACGATTGGATATCACATCATATGGATCGGATACGATTTTAGAAGCGCATACCAAAATTTATATTTTGTCGTTATCCCCATATATATTTAGTATCCATCGAATAAAAAGAAATACAGGAATTTGTGCCATGGTAATATTATTTTATTAATTCTATGATTAATTGATTTTCTATTTTTATCCTCACCTGCATTTGGTGCAACAATCCTGTTTTTTCCTTTATAGACATATTGTCCATTGATCTCAGCAAATATCGCCATCCAGAATGGCCCCGCCTTTTGAGCGTAGTACTCCCAGACGTGTATTACACCAGCCTTTGGTAGTGGCCATGAAGTAAGTATCCCGCCCCATAGTAAAGGGTCTGAGTTGAGTAACTGAGGCGCTCCTCCGATTCTGTAATTAACTGTATAAAACGATTGAGTACATTAAATGCATCAATTGCTATAAAATATGGTATTTGATAATTCCAATCTAAAGGATGGGTATCGAAATGGAGAACTTTTTGAACACACGTTTCTCTTAAACCAGTCATCAAAAAGTTCTGAAAATTTTACACAGTGTTAATTTAAGGGTCATCTTTTGAATGGTAACAATATAATTTGAAATATATATATATACTTTCATCTATATTGTTTTAGAAAACACATCAAACACTTGTTTTGTTCTTGGTATCATGTTTCCAGAGTGAAATGAAACATCTTTCTGAACCTCATTGGAACAAAACGATATGTTTAGGTCTCTCAATATTGTAATTATACAAAGGAAATTTTGGTTGATTTTAAAAAAGTATCTTGTTAATGAAATAAAAGGTTTAAATTTTTTGAATACTTTTTGAAATCAACCAAAAATTCCTTTGTATAATTACAATATTTAGAGGTCTAAAAACATGTTGTATATGCTATTTTGTTCCAACAAGGTTCGGAAAGACATTTTATTTCATTTTCAAGAATTGGTACAAAGGAGCAAAAACAATTGCACAAAAAAATGTTAACAAAAACAGTTATATAAAATATTTCTATATACTTTTTGCATTAAATTGTTGTCAATCAGTCAACATTACATAAAATACCGTGTTTTTTACAGAATGTTTACAATGATTGGTTAAAGAGAAAAACATTGTTGAATCCAGTTCTCCATGTCCATAATCCTTTAAAAAGTTGATTTTGAAAGACTTTTGTTCGAAAAACTGTGAACTTATTTCAAATATAATGTTAGTTGTGATGCACATACATTGGAGAGCAATAATTTACAACAACGTTTAACATACGTGCTTGTTCTGTTACGTTATATTTAGAATAACACTAAGAGATATATTGGCTGACTTTGTCCAGTTTATTTCAATATGGCGTAAGCCCCGATCATGACGTAATACAAAATAAGTATGGCTTGCCAGCCCAACAATACAATCAGACAATTACATGACATCTCCCTTTTTTTTCTTTTTGAAGTATTTTATGAGTCTATGTTTCAAACCTGTATTCACCCTGTGCACTTATCATGTTGAATACGGTAGTAGAAAATACTGTATGCTGATTTTGTTTTTCTTATACACATCTCTAACAAAAGATTGTCTTACATATAATCAATACAAATGTTTAAAATAAAACATGCATTATAAAACGTAATCCACACCAATCTGTGTTGTTTGAACATTTTATAAAGATCATTATCTAAACAAACTGTTAACTATGTGTACATCATTATGAGCTTTAATCATTTAATGTCTGAATGTACACTACTGTCTTTTGAGTCTCGACAGTTTATATGCATGAAAAGTATTATTTCAAGTTACATAGTCTTTGAGCCATTTTGGCTGATTTACAATCCTCTTTGATTTCCTTAATGGAGAACTAGAACTTGGTTCAGTGATAATAGAGCTATGAGAGACTGGTGTAGTATTACTAGTAAGTGGAACATTATTAGTATTTTGACCACCACTATCCATCCCTCCCTCCTTGGGATGTTTGCTTGACAAAAACACCATTGGTTTAAGCATGTTAGAACCCCGTTCAGGAGTAGGAGTAGGATCATGGCCTGTTGGCATCAAATGTCTACGATTTCTCCTGAACAAAGTTCCACTGTCACTTTTGATAATGTATGACCTTGGAGTGTGAGCTTGATTGAGAACCTTATATGGTTTACTCCATGCCTTTTCCTGATCAAGCTTCACTCTCACAGACTGTCCAGGGGACAGTTTCTCAAGTTTTCTTGCACCATGAGATCTGTTAAAATGTTTGGCATACAGTGATTTTGCTTTAGCATCATTGTTTTGAACTTCCTGTTTATCAGGCCAATTTGGGTTTAGATTCTCAGGCGAAACTGGCAGTTTAGTTCTGATTTGTCTACCATAGAGTAATTGACTTGGCGTTTTACCTGTAGAACTGACTGGAGTGGCCCGATAATTCATAAGGGAGCTTAAGGGGTCTTCTGATTTGAGAATACGTTTGGCAGTTTGGACGGCTCTTTCTGCAAGACCGTTACTTTGACTGTATCTGGGACTTGATGTTACATGTTTAAAATCAAACTCTTTTGCGAAATCTGCAAATTGTTTTGAGCTAAACTGAGGTCCATTATCTGATACTAACACTTCAGGGATACCATTCCTGGCAAATATCTTTTTGAGTTTGTTTATGATTTGAGTTGTTGTGACACTACCCCTAACATGAGCAATTTCTAGATACCGGGAATAGTAATCAACTGTGACTAAATATTGCTTCTTGAAGCATTCACATAAATCAGTTGCTAATTGCTGCCAGGGGCGATCTGGTAATTTTGTTGGAATTAATGGTTCACTTCTCTGTTTAGGTTTCAAAATTTGGCAGTGCTTACATTTGGCCACCAATTCTTTGATTTGTGATGTAAGCCCTGGCCACCATACTGTCGCATTAGCGCGTTCACGGCATTTGTGAATTCCGAAGTGACCCTCGTGAATTTGATCAAGAATATTATTGCGACATGCAGCCGGTATAGTGATACGGTTACCATACATAAGTATGTCATTGACAACACTCAAGGATTCTCTACAATCATAGTATCGCTTGGCAACTTCTTTCACGTCTTTGTAATATTCCGGCCAACCATGAAGAACATAATTCATGACTGTTGAGATTTCGGGATCAATCTGTGACAAGTCACGAATATTCTCAAGACGCGACTTCGCGACTGGTAGGTTATCATATATGAAACTCTCATATTCTGTCACACTTTCTACAGTGTTTGATTCCATGCTACTAAGCGGTTTTCTAGACAATGTGTCTGCTATGACTAATGTCTTTCCGGGTCTGTATTCAGCGATACAATTAAACCTCATGAGACGAATTAGCATTCTCTGGCATCGCACCGGTGTTTGATCAAGATCCTTTTGATTTATAATTGGCACCAAAGGTTTGTGATCAGTCACATATACAAATGATTCTAGTCCGACCAAATACTGACTGAATTTTTCCATTGACCACACCCCTGCCAAAAGTTCCTTTTCAATTTGAGCATAGCGGCGTTCGGCATCAGTTAATGAACGAGAACAGTAATGAACAGGAAACCAATCTGTTCCATGCTGTTGCTCTAAGACACCGCCTAACCCGTAACAGCTACTGTCAGCACTAACACGCGATGGCTTATTGATGTCGTAGTATTTTAGAACAGGCTTACTACTTACCTTCTGTTTCACTGTTTCAAAGGCATCCATTTGTGCTTTTCCCCATGTCCAAATTGTGTCTTTTCTCAAAAGTTCATTCAATGGGTGAAGCATTGTAGATAAGTTTGGTATAAACCTACCTATCCAATTTATCATGCCTAAGAATCGTCGTAATTCTTCAACATTTTCAGGAATTTCCATTTCCACTATCGCGGCAACTTTGGCTGGGTCTGGCGAGACTCCATTAGCGCTAATTTTATGCCCTAAAAATACGAGCTCGGGCTTCCGGTAATGACACTTCGCCTTGTTGAGAACTAGACCGGACTGTTTGATTTTCTGTAAGACTTGTTTGAGATTTTTATCATGATCTTCTACATTCTTACCATGAACGATAATATCATCCATGAATACTGCTACTCCAGGACAATTTTGCAAAATGCGCGACATTTCTCTTTGAAAGATTTCTGGAGCAAGCGATATGCCTTGTGGCATCTTCTTGTATACATAACGACCGAAGGGTGTTATAAACGTTGTTAAACGCTGACTTACCTCGCTAAGTGGCACTTGATGAAAACCTCCTGTGGCGTCGAGGGTGGAAAAGACAGAACTTCCCGAAAGTTTCTGTAATATACAGTCAATGGTTGGTAGGACAAATCTCTCGCGCTTAACTGATTTATTAAGTTTTCTAAAGTCAACCGTCACGCGAATTTTTCCTGATTTTGAGACTACCGGGACCATGGGTGAACACCACTCAGTAGGCTCAGTTATCTTGGCAATAATACCATTGGATTCCATTGATTCGAGTTTTTCTTGTAATGGTTTCATTATAGGAAATGGAACGCGCCTCGGTACCACAACAGCATATGGTTCAGCATCTTGCTTCAACTCAATTTTGACAGGCTCACATTTCATTGTACCCACTTCCCCATACAATTCATTATCATTTATGGGGTCTTTTACATGACCTGGCATTTCAGAAGTATTGTTACTAGGGGGCATTGGAATTTTATTTCTATGGTTACCAGGATCAGAACCAATTTTACCTGCCTCGCTCTGAGAGGTCTGAGTTACAACATGTACATTTTTAGTAACTAGATTCAACATTTTAGCAGATCTGCGACATAATAAGTTATCACACTTTGGCCCATTTAATACAAATATTCTCATTGAGAATTTGGTACCATCAAGATTGCTATTTGTTATAAAATAACCTCTTGTATCTATTACCCCACCTACTGACTTCAGTGGAGGACCATCATGCCTTTGTAACCTAGGTTTTGGTGTAAGGCATTCATATGCATTGTTACTCATAACATTTACATCAGCGCCTGTGTCGATCTTGAAACTCATCAATTTACCACAAATGGGTAAGGTCACACGCCATGGTGGCTCTGTGTGCCTATCTACAATCAGTGACTTGGCAGAATCAACCAAATGCACAAGCTCACCTACATGAAACTCAGTAGTGTCAAGATCGGCTTCAGCACATTCATCATAACATTCATGTACAACTCTTTTATCAACAGATTTCTTATTTGATTTACACACACTTGAGAAATGATTTAATTTCTTGCAATTATGACAGGTTTTTCCTTTAGCAGGGCATTTATCATTTCTGTGAATGTAGCCACATCTGTCACACTTGTGTTTGTCTGCTTTGTGTTGTGCCTGGTCTTGTTTTCTGTAGTTTTGTCGTGTAGCTCTCTGTTGCGGGGGTCGCTTACGAACAAAATCAACGTTACTTGTATCAGTAGGTCTCCCTTCAGCTT